GGCCTCTCCAGTCTTAGTCCAGTCACAGTGGATCCAGTCTGCCTTCAGCGGGGCCTCACCTGAGAGCTAGCGCCCAGGGCTGGGCTGGGACACAGCAGCAGAAGAGGCACTGCGGATGGGGCACAGCAGCAAGGGGCTCCAGGCCACCTCTGTTGCCAGTGCGGGGATGCAGGGTATCTCTGTGGAGCTCGAACAGGGGCACAAGAGCCTCTGCACTGATGCTGGCTAATTTAACCTGAGATTCTAGCCACAGTGAGGCTGGACAGCCACCCTGGGTGGCACGACAGGGGTCCTGGAGAGGGACAGTCCCAAAGGGGGATCCCTGCCCAGAGTCCTGGGGCTGTTGGCGGGGGTGAGGCCAGCCTCATGCGTCCGTCTTGGTGCTGACACCCGGCGACGGCTCTGCTCCAGCAGCTGGGGGCTGGGCCACAATAGGTGTCTGCACATCTGGAAAAGAAGACCTGCAGGTCAGCGGCTAAATCCCATGCTGCGGTGCCAGGAAACAGCTGCTTGTGACATCCCAGCACCCTCATTCAGCCTCCCACGAACCACAGCTCTCCAGCCCCATCTGACAAGGGCCCACACCTCCAGCCAGCGCACAGCCACTCCAGCAGTGCCCCCTACCCCAGGGAAGCCTGCAGAGATGACCAGGATCACTCCAAATCCCAGAGTATTTCAGATTGTAGATACCAGCACAGCCACTGCCTACCAGCACTGGGAATGGGACCAGCCTAGAGCACGGCTGCTCTCCCCACGCTCCTTCCCCAAGGATTTCTAGATCCCAGAGCTGTGCCTTCAGGGAGACCTTTCCCAAGGGAAATCAAGGAAGCACAAGATATTCTCCATGAACCCTGCGCAAGAGTTCCCTCTACCAGCTGCCACCAGCCAAGATCCAAGCTGGAAACACCAAGCGTCAGCCCTTGAGCAGCAGATGATGCTAAGTCAGACCCTACTGTTTAACAAGGGCCCGGTCTCCCCAGACAAGACCAGACCTCCCCCAGAAACCCCGTGCAGCAGGAGCAAGCCAGGCACTCCCAGACGCAGGAGCTGGGCACACAAAAGGGAACAGAGACTGCCTAACTCACTGTTGTCCTCCGCACGGATCTGCGCCTCCAGGTCTTCGGGGTTGACATACTTGTAGGACTCGTCCTCCTCAGGTGGTCGGCACCTCCCGCAGCAG